TGTTAGGTCCAGAGTAGGCTTAATAGTTACTCACAGCTAAAATAAGAGATGAGTAAAAAAGAGACAAGGGAGAAAATAACCACAGTAAAAATATTATTTACTGAAAGGGAGGAAATTACAACACTTCTCTCTCTATAACTTACTCCTTTCAATTAGGAGACTACTACTACCGAGAACAGATCTCAAGGTGTATAAGAGAGGAAGAGAGAAGAGAAGAAGATTTGGGATGAAAATTATGGTTTTCAGCTTCCCTATTTATAGGAAAGTCCCAATGGCATTTTCGTAATTTCTCCTAAACTTTTAATATTATTTTATTATCATGTGGGACCCGCTTTTAATTTTAAATTAAAAGCCACCGAAAGTGGCATTGACAGCTGGTGGCAGCTGTTCCCAACATGATCACATAAGATTTTGTTATCAGAATCATAATACTTCTATACAAGGAAGATAACATAATATATAAGTAAAAGATCACTCATTAAGGAAGTGTGCACTCTTGTTCACTAATGCATTCTTGAGAATTCAGAGTAAGTGAGTCAGTCCCATTGCATTGGCCTTTGAAGAAAAAAAAAAACAGAAAATCTAATGATAGAGCAACGTAAAAGAATAATAAAATGTCAAGTAGCATAACACAAATGAATAAAATATCACAAGAGATTAAAATACAATTATATTTTTTTGGTGTACCACATTTCATTATCTTACTAGTACTTCAAATTGTTAGGCCTAGAAAGTAGAAATGTAGTAAGAAAAGAACCGGAGCGGGGTGAAGTTCAAGAATTGATGATACATTAATTTCATTTGAGTTTCCTATGATCCGACATTTCTCTCTGCATGGTTAAATAATTCACCACGAGTCTGCCTGTGTCAGTCCCCACTGCCACCCTATCATGGGCTTAGGCTTTCCGGGCCCAAATAATTGCTTAGAAGTTACATGGTGACAAAACGACGTCGTAAAACCAGCGGCTGAATTAAAAATGGAAAAAGTAACATATCCATGTATCATCATATCTGAGGAAGAAAGAGGGAAGAGTGAGAGGAGAAGATTTTCAATTTCATCAACAACAAATGGGTAAGGATCTGAGTGAGGAGCAAGTTTCTTCCATGAAGGAAGCTTTCAGTCTATTTGACACTGACGGTGACGGTCGGATCGCACCGTCGGAGCTAGGGATCCTGATGCGGTCTTTGGGCGGAAACCCGACCCAGGCCCAACTCAAAGCCATAGTGGCCGAAGAGAACCTCACGGCCCCATTCGACTTCCCCCGATTCCTCGACCTAATGGCCAAACACATGAAGCCCGAGCCCTTCGATCGCCAACTTCGCGACGCCTTCAAGGTGCTCGACAAAGACTCCACTGGCTTCGTCTCCGTCTCCGAGCTCCGCCACATCCTCACCAACATCGGCGAGAAACTCGAGCCCTCCGAGTTCGACGAGTGGATCCGGGAAGTCGACGTGGGCTCCGATGGCAAGATCCGTTACGAGGATTTCATCGCCAGAATGGTCGCTAAGTGACACCGATTAGGTCTTCTCTTTCTCCACTGTTCCGGTATTGTCCTGTTTGTTGTGCTTCTATTTTTATGTTGTATGTTGTGCAGTAGCTAACCGAGGGTGATTTTAGGAAACGGTGGCTACTCAATTTGACCTTTGTTTTGGGTTTATTTGTATTATGAGATCTGATTCCGAACTAGTCTATATATGCATGCTGTAATTGAGACCAAGTGTTTGTGTATCTAATCCTTTCTTCCTTGTTGTGCCACTATCAAACCTGTGTTTTTGATTTTGAGCCAAGTGGAATGATGAAATAGATGACGCTGTTCAATATTACCAAGAAAAAAAAAAAAACTCTACTCTGTGTAAATGTTCGCATGCCTGTTGGATCTCCCCATTTGCTGCGTATTTTATGCTAGCATCTGGATTTTCTTGTTTAAGGAAGACAGAAATACATAAAAACCAAACCCTATGTCCCTGGAATTGATAGTCACAGTCTCACAGAGATGACATATATTCAATAGATCAAAAGTCGTTGGGTCTTTGTTGTATAAATGGGTGGGTTTTCATTGTGTAAATGGATACTTAAATCCTCTGTCTTGTAGTCATAATTTCATAATTGCCTCTGAAACATTGAGCTACAAGATAATAGTTGTACTGAACTACTGTTCATGTGCATGACAGGATAAACTTAGTTATGATAACTTCTAGTTTAGAACATCCATTCTGAAATGGGAAATATTGAATGTCAGAAAGTAGACACTCAAACTCATCTTAGGTACTTCCTAAACATTTGTTGATGACACTAGTATTCATTGAACAGGAATGAAGATGAAATATGACACGCTGATTGATTTTTCTTCCTTGCATGCATTTGTCTGTTTCTGTGATTGTGTTCAATTTTATATAAATTTCTCATCATCTAGCATTATGGCCTTGCATTTCTGCTGTTGCTGTGCCATGTCATGTGCCGTGTTTCTTGTATGTCTGCTGCATCCCACACTTCTTTCTTGTATGTCTGCTGCATCCCACACTTCCCTTTCATAAGTATTGTGGAGATCTCCTTTATTGATACACGATTTCAATTCAATTTGTTCGGGTCCTCCTATATTCCATGAGTGTAATTACCTGTTGAAACTGAAACCTTTTTGGACTGACACTGTATAGTCAAAGTTATAAGGAAAAGAATCAAAGATAGATTGAAGGAAAGTAATGAAACGCTTTAATCATTTTTCTTCGGATCTTACCAAATTACATTTTATTTATGACTGAGTGACAAGACGCTAACTAATCGTCCTAATCAGCATTCATGTCAAAGGTGTGACATGGGAAAAAATGGAAAGCAAAACAATAAACTGTAATATGCCAAACCTAAGTGATAAAATCTAAACTGAGCCAAGACCGATCCTATTCAAATTATAGAATCCAACCTGTTTTTAAGAAAAATCTGGACTGACTAACTTTGTCAAAATTATTTGGTTAATCGCTCTGTTTTTACAAATGAATCATTTTGGTTTAATTTGATTTTATTTTTTTTTTGTGAAGACCAACACTTGGGAATGAAGTGGATAATTATATTGCATTGAATCGATTTAATTTTAAAAAATTGTATTCGTTTTTAATTTTTTTAACAGATTCACTTTATAAATAACATTTCAGTTAACCTAACTATTTTTATAAAAAGAATCAGCTCAATTAGAAAAAAATAAATCTTGTAATAATGTCATTATTTTGTAACTATTTGCAAAAATCTGGAAATGTAGTGGACGTTTTCTCAAATTAGTCAGGCTGTGATTATTCTGCTTTCCTTGGTTTAAGTAACTTCATTAGAAATGACTTTGGCAAGTGTAAGAATAGTGACAAGGATCACAATTGTACCAATATCGAAGGGTGCTTACAAGTTACAAAACTAGCATGCAATGGGTAAGATTTTTCTACGGGTGTGATTTGGGTACTATTGTTCCTACTTTATTGTATACCTGCACCTTTTTATATTAGTTATAGTTGTATACTTACACCTTTGGTATTTTATAACTAGAATTTGAAAATCTTTGATTTTTTTTAATCCATTTAGATTTAATATTCTACTTTTGCTTTATTTATTTTATAGTTTTTTTTAAGTTTTAAAATAATGTTTATTATTAGTCCATTGAAAAAGTTGATTCAAAGGAGATCATATTTCATTTAACTAAAACAAGAACAATGAGTTCAGGTCTGAGTCCATTGAGTTCGGCCATGAACACCAAAGTTGCAATTCTCACGAATAAGGCCTGATGTAGGTCAGTTTTTATTCTTAAAATTGGATTTGATCCAAATACTTTATTCTTAAGCTCAGTAAAATTCAAGTACCAAATATAAATAAATAAATAAATATATATATAATTCCATAATAATAATATCTATTAATTTATATACATAAAGGTTTCTATAGTATTAGAAATAAACAAAATATCAAAATATTCTTTTTAGTTAAATAAAAAATATAACTCTTTCTCATTAGTGAAATCATCACAATTCTTTCTTCAAGTCATAATTTTAGTGCCATATATATATATATATATATATAAGGGTTATAATAATACCGATATAATTTTTATTAAGTATTACACCGCTCAATAACCTTATATTAAATGTGAATTTTGTAACATGTTATTGATATCGAGTATTTATCAATTTTGCTAATTACTAATCTTTGTTAAAAAACTTAACCGATTACTAATTATTTTTAGTAATTTCCTTTTCTAATTACATTTTTTTATACACAAGACTTAATTTCCAAATTTTTTAAAAAAAGTTGAATTCAATATCACTTAGATCAATAATATGTTGATATTTAATTCCTAACTGAATTACATGTTTTAATTGCTAATTATAGTTTTTTTTATCTAAGAATCGAACACAGGAACCAAGGGAATTTACGACACTCACGCATTTTGTTCAATTAACTGAACTAGGCCTGATAATTGTTAATTAGAGTTAGTAACTTTATATCAAATTGCAAGTTTTTACGTTGTAGAGACCACGAAAATTACATCAAGTATCATATAGATAATTTATAGTGTTCGATTTAATGATTTTAAACTAGAAATCGATAAAATAGCTTAACCATAAATATTATGAAACGATTTCTAACAAAATTGATTAAAAAAATTTAGATTAATTAATATTTGTTCTAATTTTTCTATATGTGAGAAAGTGAGGTTGGACTCAAGATGACTCTCACTACACTTTACTATATACATATACATATATACATACAAACAAATATATTATATATATATATATATATATAAGTATATAATGATTTTTTTTTGTGTTCATTTTTTTAATAACAACTACATTTCTTTATCATGTTTCAATATCTTTCTACTAATATATCAATTAAAAATAAAATAAAAAATATACAAAGTTAGTTCTCCACTCAATCAATATTAACAGCTCATTTATTTAACTTTGTTTTTTTAAATTACATTTTTTATTTTTCTAATTTTTATGATATGCAATCCATAATTTTTATACCTCTATTTTTAGTTACTCAATTTTAATTATGTATGGACTATAATTCATCTTTATTATAACTTTCACTATTTAAATAACTAAATCACTTATTTATTTATTTTTATTATGACTTAATCTCTATATTATATATAATATTATGGCTTTAATTAATTAATTTTTAAATTTCTTATCAGTTTAAAATTAGTAATACATTTGTTTAAAAAAATTTAGTAAAGTAATTATATAATTTATTATTTAATATCTATATATATATATATTATTTTTTTTAACCACAAATTTAATCTAACTAAATTTTTTTAAAAACTATAAGGACTTGTAGATTAATTTAACCACAAACAGTATCGATTCATTTAACTTAAAAAATTTTAAAAAAAAATTATTTATAAATTAAATCACTTATTAAAATATTGGGTCTTAAACATTTTTAACAAATTTGAAAAGGTGCAATTTTACATTCAAAATCACATTAAAATACTAGTTACAATGATTTTAAATAAGTTTTTACATGGTTGATTCCACGTTAGAAATTGATTCTAAATTTAAAATTGGTGGGGAGAAATTTAGATGATTTTTTGTATAGAATAAAAAAAATTCACAAACTATTGTTATTACTAAACCTGAATCACATAACTTGAAAATTAATTTTATTTAAATTAGCTTTTTCCAATTATTGAAAATTGTTCAGTGAAAAAATTATAAAAAATTCGTGCAATTTGCATAAATGTATGTGAAATTAAACTAACGTCTAAAAGCATGATTTATTGGAAATAATTAATAAAATAAAGAATTTAAGAAAACCAATTTTTATCGTATAATTTGCAAATTTGGACGCCATTGAGAGTTTGGGATTAGGTTACGGTTTTGCTTTGCAGGGTATCCATATATGCTTATTTGAAAGGCGAAAATTATGGGTCGTATGCATAGTCGTGGGTTGTAAACACCTAATTTCGTTTGGGGCATATAAACAAGGAAATGAACTTTCGTTATCAAAGAAAAAGGAATTCCCACATGAAAACATGACAGGCCTAAAACTCAACAAAAGACAGATTTAGTATCCCAGAACGGGCTGTTTAGAAGCCGAAACGGCCCGTTCCCAAACTGAAACGGTCTATTCTCAACCTGGAACGACCTGTTCCCAACTTGAAACGGGCCGTTCCAAAGCACCAAAAAAGCCTAAAATTCGAATCTGGAACGGGCTGTTCTAGAACAGGCAGACATATGCTAAACTCATCTACAGAACGGCCCGTTCTGGTTTAAGAACGGTCGTTCCAGATACGATTTTAACGCATAATGAAGGGGTCCAGAACGGGTCGTTCCGGTTCTAGAACGGGTCGTTCTGGTTACTTCTGATGTCTATAAATAACGGACTCAGGACCAGAAAATCCATTCATAACTCCTTATAGCTCGAAATTTTTCTTTCTCTCTTTTTTGTATTTCTTGAGATATGTAATGTAAGTATTTGTGTAGTGTGAAAGGTTGTTACAAATCACCTAAAATCTTCATAGTTGAAGATCTAATACAACTTGCTACATGGTATTACTTATCAATCTCTTGTTCCATCTTTCACTTCTTTTATTTCAAATATTGCTATAACAAACGCAATCATGTAGACATCTTAGCATTAATTGTATAATTTAAATTTCATGTAAATAACCATTAATAAAGTGATCAAATATTTAAATTATTAATTCTTATCACGCTATATTCATCATAGGGTATCAATTTAGGGCGTTGTAGGAGTACTTAATACTTTTCCTGCAGATAATCGATTCCCCGAACCCAATTCTGGTTATGAAGGCCTTTATTGGAATTTTCAAAAATCTTTTCTTTTTTCAATGTTTTGAGTAAAATATTGGTAAGGACTCCAAGAACCTATTTTCAAAACTATTAATCAAGGATTAGTATGGTATCTGGACATTCCTTAATTAATGAGATTTTTCAAAAGGATGTCTAAATTATAGATCGCGAAATCGGAAATTTTCGGGTTGCGACGATGGTTCCTGCCAACCTCTTCTTCCTCTAATCTCACTTGGCTTTGATATTTTATTTTTCAGTTGTTTTCCCATTTACATTTTGATTTGGTTTTGTTGTAGTAAGGGTATTTCCTCCTCAGCTCTGTCATACAAGAGGCAAGTTCAGACGAGTGGATTCCCTCACACGACTTTCCCCAAAGCAGCGCTAGCCATGAATCGCGTAGCATTGCCCAAATCCATTGCCCATCGTTTCAGATGGAAGCAATTCAGTAACCGTTGTGAAAGCCAGGTCCAAAACGTTGGGCCCGTGGCCTCTCTCCTCAAGTCCCGCTCCGTTATACGGTTCTGCGGGCCTGACACCCTCAAGTTCCTCCAGGGCTTGTTGACCAACGATGTACGGAGGTTGGGTGAACCCATTGGTGACAAAAACGAAAACTTGCCCACACCCAACGTACCTGCCACCTCAGTTCCTCCTATTTATGCTGCACTGTTGACTCCTCAAGGGAGATTCCTCTACGACCTCGTTCTCTATAAGCCTCCCACGTGCGACACCAAGCTCGATCATACTGGATCTGGCCCTCACTCCCACACCGATCAACCCTTTCATTTGTTTGCTGACGTCGATGCTTCTATCTTGGATGAGTTGTTGCAAACCTTCAACAAGTCAGTTCACTCTTCCATTCATTCTTTTCATCCCATTACTTTTATTCCGGCTTAATTCCTCAACTTCACCTTTGTCAATATCTATTTTGTTGATTAGTTTTTTTTCCCTCAATTACAAATTAGATAGATAGATAGTTATCATTGACATCACTGGCCTGAAAAAAGTTCCATGACTTCCGTTTAACCAATTTTTTGAAACGTTATTCCTAGGTTCTATATGGACTGGAGAAATCCTGGTATCAGTCAATGAACTTATTTGAGGACAAGATTAGAGCTGCTGAGAGATAATCTAATACAAGCTTAGAAGACATTTTGAGAGCTATTCAATTGAAATTAAAGAGTTAATTTTGAGAGCTACTCAACCAGCTAGAAATAAAGTGCTTTTTTTTCCATAGAGAAGTTCAAAATCTCTTTTAAACAAGCTCAATGTCTAACATCTCACCTTGTGGACAATCATTATCTTCTACTTTAATATCATGTTTCAAGTTAGGAATGCTCTCGGAGCACTCAATATAGAATGGCATGCACTCTATTAAATACTTTCAATTACTAAGCAAGCATGGAAGAATGATTTTTGTGTTTACAATATAATAAATGCTCTGCTTGTATTTCCTTAACCTGTGCCCTAGCAGTTCCTTAAAGTTGCAGTCGTTAGACATTAAATGGTATAGAAAGATTTCCCTTGCACCAGGAACATCTATTTGTCTCTCTAAGCGTGATCATGCTACACTACATATGCATGTTATAAAGTTTGATTAACCAACCGTTGGCCTGCAAAGAGTAGATTGTTTGGCTTGCCTAGGCATCTGTTGGATTGAAGTTGATCTTCTTCCTACCCTTGTTTTATTGGTTTTTATTTCTGAGGAGAGACATTAACATTTTAATGTTACAGATACCGGTTGAGGTCAAAGGTTGAGATTGATGATGTCTCCAGTGATTTCTCGTGCTGACAGTGATATAGTGCTGGCCTTCTTGAGAAGTCCTCACAAGTAGAAGAACTAGAAGCAGCCTTTGTTGGCTGGGGTGCTGGTTTGGATCGTACTGCAATGTCTTCTTCACATGGGAGTGATCATGGGTGGCAATGGTTTAAGGATCCCAGATTGGTCTCTCTTGGTTTCCAAGGGATCTTCCCATCAAATATAACTCGTTAGTTATCTATTCTTTGGCTGCTAATAAAATTTGTGTCTAATATTTATTGTTGCAATCTTTTACATTACTGTGACAAAACTCTAGATGTTTAGTCCTCAAAGAGTCTCCCTCATCTCTACATGTTTCAGCACCTCTAATTGAGGTTGACAAAGAGACTGATGAACATAATTTCCTTTTATGGAGAATAGAGAAGGGAGTAGCAGAAGGATCAACCGAGATTCCAAAAGGTGCATGTTTGTTTCCTTGTAAAATACTCTTACTGAGAAGAGCTCTTTCAGTGAGTTGTCTCAAATATCTTGATTAATTGATCATGTCTAGGTGAGGCAGTACCGCTTGAGTATAATCTTGCAGGTCTAAATGCAATTAGCTTTGACAAAGGTTGTTATGTCGGTCAAGAACTCATAGCTCGTACCCATCACAAGGGGTGATTAGAAAGCGAATAATTCCTCTAAGGTTTCTCGATAATGATGGGAAAGGTAATATGCTCCTATAAGGAGGATGTGACTTCTTTAGTATTTATATATTATATAATGATAGTGATGTAACTAAGCCATTCCTTTTCTGCTATTCTAGAGTTAGTAAACAAAGTTGTTCCAGGCTCAGAAGTAATGAACGTTGCATCTGGCAAAAAAGCTGGCATAGTGACTACTGCCCTAGGATGTCGTGGGTTGGGGCTCTTGCGACTTGAAGAAGCTTTAAAGGGGTCGAGTGCTTTGTGCATTCAGGGACAAGAGGATGTGAAGGTTGTCGCTAGTAGACCAGATTGGTGGCCTTCTGAATGGCTTCAGGATCATGGACAACATGCTACTTTTGCCTAGGATTCTCAATGTCGTTCAAAGGGCAAGTATTTATGAACAATTTTGTTGGTGAATGAATAAATTTGTAAATGGGGCGTTAATATAATACTCTCTCCGTTTTTTTTATAGTCGTTTTTTTGTTAGATTTTGTTACATTTATAAATGGGGCGTTAATATAATACCTATTAATTTTCTTTTTCATTTGTACCCTTGATAATTAATGTATGTTTATTGAACAATGTGTCTATTCATTTTTTAATATACCTATTTCTTCTCCAACCATCTAAAGGGTATAACAGGAAAATATGTAATAAATACTTTGAAAAACTAAAATATCAATTATTGTCTTAATTCTTGTGCATAACCTTAAAGATAATGATAAAAAACGGAAAAAGTACTAATATGCTTCCGATGTGTGGATGGTAAAAGAAGGAACAGTGAAGACCATATTTGTGGATTTTCTTGCGGAATGAGTTTTATTGTAGTAACGGTAGTGTGTACCATTTTTCCTCCACAAAACTCTTTACATAGAACAATTTTGTCTTTCACAAATTAGGAATGAACCATGCTTTAGTCTTTTTTTTACATGTGCAAAACAATGACAATTGTTTCAACCATTGCAAACCTAAAAAGTTGTGCATTTTTTTATACATGAAAATGATATGTATGGGAGATAATCACTTATTTATAAATTAAATCACTTATTAAAATATTGGGTCTTAAACATTTTTAACAAATTTGAAAAGGTGTAATTTTACATCTAAAATCACATTAAAATACCTGTTACAATGATTTTAAATAAGTTTTTACATGGTTGATTCCACGTTGATTATTGATTCTAGATTTAAAATTAGTGGGGGAAATTTAGATTATTTTTTGCATAGAATAAAAAAAATTCACGAACTATTGTTATTACTAAACCTGAATCACATAACTTGAAAATTAATTTATTTAAATTATCTTTTTCCAATTATTGAAAATTGTTCAGTGAAATTTTTTTCGAAAATTGGTGCAATTTGCATAAATATATCTGAAATTAAACTAATGTCTAAAAGCAGGATTTATTGGAAATAATTAATAAAATAAAGAATTTAAGAAAACCATTGTTTTTAGTATAATTTGCAAATTTGGACGGCATTGAGAGTTTGGGGTTAGGTTAGGGTTTTGCTTTGCAGGGTACCCATATCTGCTTCTCTGAAAGGCGAAAACCATGGGTCGTATGCATAGTCGTGGGTTTGTACCAACCTCTTCTTCCTCTAATCTCACTTGGCTTTGATTTTTTTTTATTTTTCAGTTGTTTTCCCATTTACATTTTGATTTGGTTTTGTTGCAGTAAGGGTATTTCCTGCTCTGCTCTGCCATACAAGAGGACTCCCCCTACCTGGCTCAAGATCTCTTCACAAGACGTAATAACTAATCATATTCCTCTTTCTGCCAATTCAATTCTTATTTCTTATTTCGACGCTTATTTTCGATTTTATTTATGATAATATTGATTTAGGTTGATGAGAATATATGCAAGTTCGCCAAGAAGGGTTTGACGCCGTCTCAGATTGGCGTGATTCTCCGAGACTCTCACGGCATTGCTCAGGTCAAGAGCGTCACTGGCAGCAAAATCCTTCGCATCCTCAAAGCTCACGGTTGCTTTCCCTCTCTCTTTATACATCCATTGTTGTTGATGTCTGTTATTAGACTTATATTAGAAAACTGAAGAATTGAATTGGTTTTGTTTATTGCAGGGCTTACGCCTGAGATTCCGGAGGATCTGTACCATTTGATAAAGAAGGCAGTTTCAATCCGGAAGCATCTTGAGAGGAACAGAAAGGACAAGGACTCCAAGTTCAGACTCATCCTTGTCGAAAGCAGAATCCACCGTCTTGCCCGTTATTACAAACAAACTAAGAAGCTCCCCCCTGTTTGGAAATAGTGAGTAACATTTACCCTTGCCATTTTACTTCCAATATATCTTATGTTACCCTGACACATATGTAGCTTTTTGCATGATATTATTAAGAGTAAATTACACACATACGATAACCTGGGATTTCGTGAGATTGTACACAACTCCTTTGTCTTTTTGATGTTTACCCTGTATTGTTTGTCAAATAATTAAGAAGTTGATATAATATCCAAGGATTGTCAGCGTAATGTTTTTCAAGCAATTAAGTGGTTAATGGATGAGTAGAAAAAGTAAGAGAGTGTGCAATTTCATGAAACCTCAAGGGATTTCAATGCAATTTACTGTTTTGTTAATTAAGTTGAGGAGAACTTTGGATACCTAGATTTAGTCTACATAGGGATACATTTGGCTATAATTTTGTTGATACATATTTGGTTGAATACAAGTTCTCTCGAGTCTTGATGCAAGTTTTCGGTTCATGACTTCACACTTAACCTGGAGTACTTCATGCTGCACGAATTTCATTTTGATTTTGATTTCAGACTCTTTCATCTTTGGCAGAGTTATAGTTTGTCTTTGAAAGTGAATTCTATGTCGTGTTTGGTTGAGTAGGTGGAAAACGGATGATGAAATAAAAATGGTTTTCAACCAAGAGTGCAAAAAAATTCTTCTCCACTTTCCATTTTCTCATGTGTTTATTTTACTAAATAGTGTAATGTGATTTTCATTCTGAATTTTTACTTTGTCACTTTCCACATACTTGAGGACTTGGCCAAGCACAAACCAATTATCTCGGTTACCCTTTTTTTTTATTTTTTTTTATCAGCAGCTGTTTGTTACCTGGTTTTTTTTTGAAATTCCTTCATATGTTGTTTTTTTAGAATTTAGAATTTTTAAACCACAATTAGTAGTTTTTTCTGCCCAGTCAGTTAATCACTCTCTCGCATCTGCCCCAGAATTCAGAAACATAAATGAAATGGAAGGTAGGCGGAAAAACTTATATTGTTATGCTCATGTCTCATTACTGTAGAAAAGTATTTTCCATATTAATGCAGTTCACTTTTCGAAGGCTGATGACTTATGTGTGTTTGTTTTCCAATTAGAAACCAACAACGGCATGTTCAACAGAAGATAAAAGTTGCTTCATTGTGTTTTTCTGTTTGCAATGTTGCAAACTGGTTTCCAAACATATTAACTTGATTCTATGTTGACGTACATGCACAATTCTCGAGGCTCTTGTTATTCTGCTGTGTTTGCTTTCTTATCATTTTTTATGAACTTTTTTTAAGTCTCCTTGCACCAAGTTGAATGCTTTCGCGTGCAATTCTACTGTGGAACTGCTACTAAATACTAATGCCTTTTTTAAACATTTGCAGCGAATCAACAACTGCCAGCACCCTGGTTGCTTAGGGAATGTTTCAGCTCATGCTTGTAGGGTTGCTAGACTAGCAAGCTGAGGTGTCATTTTGATATTAATTTGGAGGTTTGGTGGGGGGATAGGTGTCTTATTTTTTGCTGAGAACCTCTGATTAGACAGAAGGGCATTATTTTACGCAATTTTGACTGCAATGTATGGTTTTCATTTGAAGTAATATATTAAACTGTTGAAAATTATTTTAAAGTATCTCGTATTTCTACTTTCTTACTTGTTACATCACATGTATATTAAACTGTTTAACATAACATTCAAGCAAATACTTCGTTAACGATTTCTAACGGAAGAAACACTACGAAAAACTTTAACTAAAAACCCATAGGATTGTCTTTCTCGTGTGGGTTTACCGGTAATACAACTCAACATTTATAGCTTCCGTGCCCTGTTGAAACGACCATTTCTTGTTTATCTGGGAAAGTGAATAAACAAGTAAAATATAGCCCTTGATGGATAACCTTAAAAGTTATTTGAAAAGCTTATGCACCCAACTTCTAACTTTTTTAGCTTGCAAGTAAATAATACCAAGTGCATAAGAAAATTAGACTTTACCTTGTCAAAGCAATAGAAATCAGCCATCGTGAAACAATGGCCAAGTGATGTGATTCACAAGGGCTCTTAATTTTTTTCCCAATTTCTTCAGCTATTTACTTCTCATTGGAATTGGAACTAGGGAAGGTAAGAAGTTCGTATAATTGAATAGCGCTTGACGAGCAATGGTAGGTGATGTCACCACCATGGCAAGTCTATTCCCAAGCCGGAGCCTAAAAGATAATCAAGTCTATTTGGAATGAATCGGCCATTCGATAGGTTGAAATAAAAATAAATTAATGTATCGGTTTGAAAGAATTATAAAATTGGACTGTGAGAAAATCAGTCAAAAACTGGATGAACCAGTTTAAAATTCTCAAAATGAAACAGATCATAGTTTTGTACTTAGATAATTTTATATTTTTAATTCTAATAATCCAAAGACCCACTTTTTTTAACAGGCCATATTAAATTCATATTTTGATAAATTTAAAATGTACATTACCTATTTAATGTATCGTTATTTAATTGCTCATTACATTGGTTGAAGAACATAATTGAGAAAGATTGGCGGAACTTGGATTAAAAGTTTGGAGGTGCCAAATTATTTTTTTGTATATAAAATTATAAATTAATTTTTTATTAAATAAAAAATAGAATTTCTCTTTTTTTTACTCATTTTTTTTAATTTTATTACAATTAATAATATAACAATATATAAATATAATATTAATATATATATATATATATATATATATGGGGAATGCTAATATACTCCCACTTATTTTTTAGTGGGAGTATGTTAG